TATATATATATGACCTTTATTATAAAGGTTAAATACTACATGTTACCATCATGAATCAAATTGCTAAAAGCAAATATAGACAACTTTTTTCTCAGTTCATTTCAGTTCAGTTTAACATTTAAAAAAATTACATCTACATGTTTAAAAAATATCAGACTCTCTCAAGATTGAACAACATGTTTCTAGAAACCTCTCACCGGTTGGGGCGCGGTACCCATAGACCTCCACTTCACAGAGAGTCAGAACCTGGTCTGAACCAGGTATTACGATAGTGACGTAACGTCCCTCCATGTGACCAGGAATATTTATTACTTGCGAGGTTCCACTTGGGATGGAGGAGATTATAGCAGCTCTGAAAGAGGAAAACTTTGCAAGTGATATATAGGATCTACTTGCAGTATTCTGACTAATTACTTAAGATGGAAAATGAGTTGTTAAAGACTAAATAAGAAATATACTAGCTGTCTTCCACAGGCCCTTCTGTCATACTGTAACACCTATAATAATCACTCACCGTGGGTTTTCAACACCATTGTTTTGTAGAGAGTTTCCGATGTGAATATTTGCTCCATTGATCCTTTCTTCACCGCAGTCTCCTCTGTTGGTGACGATGACCTGGGTGATGACATACGAGTCCAGCAGGTCCACTCTCCACCAGGGGTTGGACTCCCTTTCAGTGTGGGTGCAAGATCCTTTTCTAAGATTCGGATTTCGGTTTCCATCTATAGCTTTATAGGCATCCACAAAGCCACCCAACTCTCCTCTGTAGTGAGAAGACTCAGTGGCTTTGCCACGTAAAGCCAGATTTTCTGGGGGGAAACAAAGTTAAGAATAGTTTGATCTTATTTTTATTGCAATGCTAATTATTCTGTTAAGTTCTTGTAGAATTTATTTAGTAATTGAACGACTAAATATGTGTTATAGATTGATAATGTTAATTCCATCTTCTTCGATTGCAGGGGTATCAGCCAAAGTAAGAAGGCCCAGTCTTCCCTCTCCCCAGCCACTTCTTCAATGATTCAACCGGTAAATAGAGAGCCTCACTTTTTGACTGAGCTCTCTCTTCACCATGACAGACTGGTACAGCTCCCGCTTCACCAATCCGCCTGTTGATCTCCTGCTCCACTTTTCCCTCATTTGTGAACAAGATCCTGAGATACTTAACCCTTGTGTGATCTTAACCCTCCTGTTATGTTCACTTTTGAGGTAAATAATGTTCGCGGGTCAATTTGACCCAGGAAGTTCTATAGTGTCCTATAGTGTCAGAAACCAAAAAAATCCTCCAAATCTTTTTTGTGTCTGATTATTAACTCCTATACTAACCATTTCAATCAATATTTGTGCAATTATGTTTTTATTCCTCGCAAATAAAGGATCAATGACAACAATTTACTCATTCAGACATAAAAAAATGTGATTTACATTTTTTTATGCCCACTGAAAAACGTAAACACAAAATAACACTAAGTATCTTTGAAAGTGACTTTTTGTAAAATTTTTTATATTACATTTAGATTTTTTTTTGAAGGGGGCATCTTTATAATTGAACTTGAGACACTATTCTGCCCTGGGCCAAATTGACCGGCTGACTAAAATCAAGATAAATGAGTCCTGAAGATGATCCTCCAGGTGGATTTCCAGTTTAAACCTGCATGTCCAAAACATCACTGGGTTTTTCATCACATGCTGCCCAGATTTTTATGTCACATTTAGCTGGTGTGGAAGGCATATATAGTGTAAATGAGCAGCGACCTCTGAATGCCAGCGGTGATCTTTATGAATGACTGACTTGATGTTTGTGATGTGAATAATCATCAAGAAGTTCCAGAGCTTCCATGGTTGTCATCTTTTTATTTCCCTGCTGCTCATTTCCTGATCTCCAACAGTGACGATATTACATGTACCTTCAGTGTTATAATGCGTTTAGGACTCCCTTGCAGAGAGTATTTATGTCCCCCCCCCCACTTCTGCTGAGTGTCCACTCAGTGGGGGGGGGGTTTGCCCACAGGAACAGAAAAGGTTCCTGTCAAAAGTTGTATGAACACCTGCTTTCTGGGAGCTTCCTAGTGAAGTAAAGAGAATAGTGAAAGAGTGGGTTTGTGTGCGTGTTTAGGTGTGTGTGTGTGTGGTGTGTGTGTGTGGTGTGTGTGTGTGTTCATGCATGTGTGGTGTGGTGTTTGTGTGTGTGGTGAAATATGTCTCATAGGTGCAAGGAAACAAACAGAATTGGACATTGTTTTAACCTTTTACCCTTCAACTTGTATGGCGGGACCAATTGACCCTTAACAGTACGTCTGTAACAAATGGACCTAGGGGGGGCTGCAAGTGTGTAAAATGAACCATTTTCATTTTATACATAGAGTGCACCTATTAAGACAAATAGAAAAAGTTTCATGCAGAAAAAATACTTCTAACTATTTTTTTTTTATTTTTAAACTTTGAAACGGGTCAAATTGACCCGCAACATATCGTGTTCAATCCTTGTCCTATGGGTCAAAAATGACCCGCCCTACCAAAGCCCCTAAATAAAGCAGCTTAATTGAATTTTAAATCCAAAATCTATTTTGCATGATGAAACAATCTGTTATTTATTAACTTAACTAAAATTCCATGTATTTTCTGTTAAGCAATGCAACATAACAGTCACCAGTGAACAATACACTTTTTTTCATTGCCACAAACCAGCTGTCATATCAGTTTTCTTTTTTACAAATCAACAAAATGTTGCTTGATTTGTGATTTGATGTTGAACATCAAAATAGTTTGTTGTTTAACTTTCTATGCTGAACAACATAATCTCATCATGATGAAATAAAATGTTATCCATCTTAAGACCTTTAGCAAATATTTGCCAAAGAAGAATATGATTCCTCAAGAGTCCCAGCATTAACTACAATAAATAACTGTAGTTTAATGTACCCAACCTTAAAAACATTCAGAAATAAGAAAATCATTCAAAAATTGCAATCGCTACTTTGTAGTATAGAACAAAACGGTATTCCACACTTACTGCTAGGGACGAAGTGCCCATAGACCTCCACTTCGCAGAGGGTGAGGATCTTCTTAGAGCCAGGTATTACAACAGTGACATAAAGTCCCTCCATGCCACCAGTTATATTTATTGTTTGCGAGGCTCCGCGTGGCATGGAGGAGATTGTAGCAGCTCTGAAAAAGAAGAATTTCAGGTTAGGACAGGCAGTACTTTATTAATACAGAGGAAATTATGAGGTAGTCTATTGCTTGTGTACATACATAACCATCAATAAAGTCTAAAATAAAAACAGTATTACAACCACGCACTGGGGCGTGGTTGTAATACAGGGGTAAAGTGTATGGAGGCCTCAGTCCTCCATGCATCAGTCACAGGTTCAAGTCCAGGTCTGCTGACTTTTGACTTGTTTTCCCCTCTCTCACAACCCGCTGTTCTGTTGATGCACTGTCAAATAAAGGCAACTAGAGCCAAAAAAACAATCCTTTAATCAGTGTTGTAGTACTCAAGATCGGTCTTGGTCTCGAGACCGGTCTTAAGACCATTTTTTGATGGTCTTGGTCTCGTCTCGGACTCTACTGCATTTGGTCTCGGTCTTGTCTCGGTCTCGGGCGCTGAGGACTCGGCATTTTATTTCAAGACCAGTCGAGACTGCAACTGTGAAAATATCACTAAACATACAACACACTATCCAGTTTATTTGTTATCATTATTTTCAGTGGATGCAAAACGCACCGATTAAAATCCAAGCAATGACGTGCTTCTGTTTCTCCCCCTCCCCTCCCCACCTTTATTCGCATGTGGCGCTCTAAGACATGCACAGTTGTGTTCTCTGAGCGGCAGAAGATGTCTGTCTAATCGTCAGTAATAGAATAGCGCTGTATAAATCATAAGAAATCCGATGGCCACAGCTAACTCAGCAGCGCTTCGCTTTCACAGACGGTGGGGACGTCTAACTTTTTTCATCACTTAGAAAAGAAGCTCAAAGAAAGGTAAGCTCCGTTGACGTGATGTTAGCAAAGCTAGCTGTACAGAGACACAAAAAAAGTCACTCACTGCGCTGAGTTATTGTGAGGTGTTGACTGACTTGTCGCATATGGGACAACGCTGTGTCCAAAAGTCTGCAATATAGTGATGTGACATTCAAGAACAGTCCGATTCTTCTGTACAACTTTTTACTTATTAGATAGGACTGGAGTGTCACTGAGAGCCGTTGTTCTATCAGATGGCCATACGCTGTCAGGATAGCATACATGCAGTGAGTACCATGCCTGCGCATGCGCATTAAGAAGTCCGACCGTCAGAGGAGTTGTCAGTTCACCATACGCAGCAAGTTCTGATGAAAATAACTCATTAAATTGTTTTCAATGATAACTATATAGATATACATGCGTTGTCATGGTTTCAAAGTGTATTTAAAGCAGAGTCTGGCTGCAGCTGGAGTCAGCTACAACACACGCCTGTGTAAAACTTATTAATCTACTTAACTGCTAAGTCAGGATGCCACACAACTGTTGATAAAGTGTATGATGATCTACGTCATGATTCTATGTTGCTAATTAAATAAAATTATATAGTAATGACGTGTGTGACAGATATATAGTGAGTGAGTTTGTGCTAAGCGTATGACGATCTGACAGCATATGCTGACCTGACAGAACACTCTTCTTTGTTCTTGTAATGCTCTGCATACACTGCAGTAGCTATCATTATTTTATTTAATTATGTTTTTTTATTTTATTTTATTTTATTAATTATTTTTTAAATTAACAAATAACTAAAACACAAGAACGAAAGAGCACGCACAGCATGCACATTGCTCTTTGATTGTTTTCGTTCAAAGTGGCAGCTGTAATGTGTGCCATGGTGTCAGACTACCTGGCTTCATGTAGTGGGAGAGAGGGTGAGAACAGTCACAGTGAGCGTCTTGTGCATGGTTACTTCTTGCTTGTTGCTCCTTGGTCAGTGTTTATAGTTGAGCGTTATTTACCATCAGGGCATTGCCTCAATTGCTATGTTTAATGGTGCAGAGAGAGAATGGTGCTATGTTTAATGGTTTTTGACATGAGCAATATGGGCAAACACCCAGGTCTTATCTTTTTAGGGATGGCACGAGACCACCGCGGATTGTAGCACAGAGATGGAAGCAAAATTAATATTGATTAATTTTATTAAGTATTTAATATCTAGGTATTTTTATGTGAATATGGATCTTTCAGATCAATTTGAGAATTAATTTTGATCATATTTCACATGTTATTGTATCATGTAGCGCGGGGCGCTGGTCTTGGTCTTGACTCGGTCTTGGCCTTGACTTGGTCTCGGACCCTGAAAGTCTTGGTCTTGTCTCGGTCTCGATACACTCTGGTCTTGGTCTTGTCTTGGTCTTGGGTTAGGTGGTCTTGATCACAACACTGCCTTTAATAAAAGGCACAATATAAATATACAAGTTACCAAAGGAGAACAACCAAGACATTTATTGCCCTGTTTCCCACATATCCCACTCCCACCAATAGCAGCATTATAGAGCCTGTTAGCCGGTGGTATGAAGGAGTTCCTGAGCCTCTCTGTGGGACCGCCCACTGACAGGAATCTGACCCTAAGAGTGTACAAGGGATGGCTGGTATTGTCCAGAACTGCTCTGAACTTTAAGTGTCCTCTTTTTCACCTTTGTTTCAACAGAATCCAGTCTCATCCCAACCACAGAGCAAGCTCTCCTGATTGGCCGGTCCAAACTCTGCATGTCCCTTCTCCCCTCCCCTCCCCCCACTCCAACAGACCACTACGTAATACACATACCACACAATTGACTGCTAAAATATATAAAGCTGCTTGGAGCACATGAAAAGAGGCGAATCTCCTTACAAAATAGATTAGGTTATGTCCTTTTCTTTATATCATGCTTATATTTGTCTGTCAATTCAATCTATTGTCCAGATGTACACCTAGGTATTTGTATATGTTGACCACTTTTACATCATTACCTCCTATGGTAATGGGAAAGTCCAGTACCATCTCCTTTGTTTTTTGTAATGTTGAGCTGGAGTTCGTTCTTTCTGCACCATGCTACAAAGTCCTCCACAGGTTTTCTGTACTCCTATCCTTTATACACAGTTGCAGTATCGTCAGAAATTTTCTGCATGTGACATATATTAGTGTACCAGTTGAAATTGATGGTGTGTACAGGGTGAAGAGTAGGGGCACAAGCACTGTGCCCTGAGGGATACCTCCACTGCTGGTCTTTGTGGTGGACCTACAGCTCTCCATCCCAATGAACTGTGTTTTTGTTGGTCAAGTAGTCAGTGATCTAGTGCACCAGATAAAACTCAACATGCATGATGTTCAGTTTTTCCTGAAGTAAAAGAGGCTGGACTGTAGTAAAGATGCTTAAGAAGTCAAAAACTAGTGTCTTCCAAATCCAACCCTGCCCTCATCCCCCATCCATATTTAATACTGTAAACCTATATGATGATCACTTACAGTGGGTTTTCAACACCATTGCTTTGATTAGAGTTTCCGATGCGGATCTCTGCTCCGTTGATCCTCTCTTCACAGCAGTCTCCTCTGTTGGTGACGATGATCTGGGTGATGACATACGAGTCCAGCAGGTCCACTCTCCACCAGGGGTTGGACATTTCTGCAGTGTGGCTGCAAGATCCATCAAGGAATAAATTATTTCTGCTCCCATCAATTGCACTGGTGGCAGATCCATACTTATCTGCTCCAAAGTAGGGATGAGCTTGAGTTGCTTCACCACGTAAAGCCAAATTTTCTACAAAAAAAAAAAAAAATTAAAAAAAAGGTTTAGAATAATGATTTTTTTTATATAGTTCTGGTAGATACTAATTGAAAATTAAAATATTTGTCAAAGATTTCCGATGCTGTTTAATTATTGCTAATTACATGATTGGTTATATTTTATATTGTCTGAACTACTTTATAAGCTGGGTTTCTACTACAAATGTGCGCAAAACATTGCTAATGTCGAAAAAACAGTTTCACAATGGCGTTGTTTACATTAAATAAGAACCGTAATTAAAATCACGGGTGAATAAGATTGTTCAAGCCATAGATCATGCCGTGTCATGATCCTCCAGCTACTTCCTGTCGTCGTCTTCTTCATTTGTGGCAAAGGTTGTTGATCATGAGACTTGTGTGATGTGAAAACAGCCTTTCCATTGCAGTTTTGTGAAATAAACCAATTTCAATATCGTCGATAAGCCACTTCTTCCTAGCGCCAACACTTTTTATCAAAAACAGGAGTTTTTCTTTTTTTTTATTATCAGGATTTCATTAAGCAAATTTATTTTTGAAATGTCACATTGTGTAATTATATAGTCAATGGAAACAATGTTATTGTAAACTTTGTTTTTGTTTGTTTTTTACAAAATGAGTTTGTCGTACTGCAGTGGCCTCCACAGTCACCAACTCAGTAGCACACCCTTATATATATACCACTATGTTAGAAAACTTCACTAACTGGCATAATAAAGAGAACTTGTTGACAATGTGATACAAGTATATAGTTATAAATATTTAATAACTGCCTTTTATACCACTCAATTATAATTTAACCATCTAACTGGATTAATTGGACTGTTTCTCTAGATAAGTTGGATATGTTTTGGGTTTTGTGTTGTATATAAATAAACTGAGGAACTTTGTGCTATAAAATGGCACAATCAAGGAACCATGTTAACTTCAAGTGTAATAAAAATGCTATATATCAAACATGACTTAAAATAAATTTGACTTTTTAGTTTGACTCCTTAAAAATTGGCCTCTGTCTCCTGAAGAAGCTCCTGCTTTTCCTGAAACTCCAACTTCAGCATATCATAGAAATAATGCTTCTTATTATGCCATTTACCTTCATTCTTAAGTATGATAGACTGAAAAGTAATTTGTATGATAAACTCAGCAGATGAGCAGTTCCACCCACTAGGCATTTGCTAATTGCTGCCACTAGTCAGATCCTACTGACTAGTGACAGCATATTGCAATGTAAATTAAATAATATCTTGTTCTTGCATATCTACTGTGTCAAAGAAAACAAGAAAAAGGATTAAGTGTCATTAAATGGACTGAACTTATATAGCGCTTTTCCAATCATTTTGACCACTCAAAGCGCTCTACACTGGAGTCACATTCACAATGACAAATGCTCACACATTTATACATCGATACACAGCAATTTGGGGTTAAGTGCCTTACCCAACGGCACATTGACATGTGGCAGGAGAAAGCTGGAATCAAACCCACACCCTGCCGATCGCAAGATAACTACTCTACCCACACAGCCACAGTCGTCCCATTAATTACTCAGTGATGTTATTCAGGGCATTAAAAAAAATCTCCTCTCAGAAATTGATGACATACTGCAAACAATTTAGGAGCCACACCTGCAGCCAGGATCCAAACACAGACAGATTATTTAATAGATTCTGAACTATATTGAACTGTGATAAAGAGTGACAGGCACAGAAGCAGAAATCTCTCTACATCAAAATGTTAAATCTTAAATATTTAATCTAAGTCTAATCTGTGGATAAGAGTTGCTTCTTTAAAGATCAGCTGTCCTATGTTTACAGTCTCAACAGATTAATAAATATTTTTAGATTATACTTACTATAATTTTGGGCTGAATACATTCCAAACAAGAGCAGCAAGTGAAACAAGACAATGCATCTCATGATTCTGCAAAAAACAGACATAATTGGAAATTATAACCCAAAAACAGTTTCTAAACTTTTTAACAATTACTAAGCTTTAGTTCTAATAAATTGTGGTAATTTAACATTTTAATTGTTAACTTGATGTTATTTGAAATATGATCCAACTTAAATGAACGATGTTATAAATTCAGATCTTACCCTGATTTCTTGGAGGACAGATATTTTGTCACCGGAGCTGACAGAAAATGGTTTGAATTGGTTTGTCACAAAACTTTCTTCCTCGCATAAAAATCTTTTCATCATCCAATCACATCTCACCGTCTAGGTACTCCTCTTTTGTAAATTCAACTGCATTTGCAGATTACCAGAAGTAGCTTGTTAATATTTACTGCCCTCTCCTGTTCAAAGAACCACATTTGGGACTGAAGTCATTTTTGACTTTGACCATCCTTTCAGAAATGTTCTGTTTGCCTTCAGCAGTGTGCATGTAAGCAGATAGAAGAGACAGAGGAAGGACATAGAATCACTTCAACCATAAGAGTAGCTTGAATTTTAACCCATGTTTAGACAATAAAATACCATAAAACAGCTTCCACAGCTTTGTCTCTTTGTTCTCATGGAGAAACAGCATTCAACTTCTATGCACCACAAATCTGGAATAAACTTCCAGAAAATTGTAAAACAGCTGAAACACTTGAGTTCCTTTAAATCTAGACTAAAAACCCACTTATTTTGGGTCCATTCAGTGGTTGCGTATTTTTATTTTACCAGGTAAGTTAATTTAGAACAAATTGTTAATTTTAACAACAACCTGTGCAGAAAACATCAAAACATCACACAATAGAATATCATAAAAGGAAAAAAAATAGTCATATTCATACTAACTAAATTAACTATGTACACATGATAAGTCAGCAGTATTTTTAAAAAGGTACATTTTGTTGGCACAGATTCCTTGCTTTTTTCCCAGACAGTCAGTCCTTCAGTGAACTGAACTCAAGCAAATATTTGAGCACAAGGTTTGTAAGAGCAGAAATACTATTTAAGGAGTTTTTTTGTGAAAAGGATCTTGGCACCTCTCTTGGTCAACTTGACCTGACTCCCTTCCTTCCATTTGCGTGCAAAGCGCAAATGGAACCAGAAATTACTGGAAAGGATGTCTATTTGTACAAGATAAGATCAACAAGTTGAGATAAATTGTCCTATTCAGCAGTTCTGAAATGGAGCAGATGTTGAGTTCGTGAGGTCCAAAATGTTTTAAAGGTCGTCCAATATTAAGGGTGCCAGGATCTGCCTGCGAAAACAGCAGTTACACGCAATTGGTTGAAACTTTCCAGCAGACACCAATGAAGATGGAAATGTATAAAAAAAGGGTGATGTTAAGACTTCAGGGAGATTTTGTGTTGAGACTTTGGAAGATTTTTGAGTATTGAACTGATGAAACTGTAATGAGGAATCCGTGGTAGTGTAATACATCTCCGGCTCGTCTACGGCCTAGCAGCAAGAACTACATCTCTGTGCGTTATTTCTTTTACTTATATATTTAAGAGTTTAGCCACCTTTCAATTCTTCAACAGGTTCAACAGTGATGCATCAATAAACACTATTTTAAGAAGACTGAATTTGTTTTATAAAAAAAACAATTTCAAAATTCAAAGATTAAAAGTTAAAAGTCAATTCATATATCAACTAAATGAGATTAGCACTGATGGCTAATCATGTCACATAAGACTGGCGACAGTCACATAAACAAAATAAAACTGATTAACACTACCCTCTACAGGATGAGGAGAATAATAAAAGCTAAACTTGTGCTATAATATTTGCTTCACTTGGTGTCGCCCCTGAGGTGAGCTGAGTGAAGCCCAGCTCTGGATGGTGAATGTCACTCTCTATCTATTACATTAGTATGACTTGTAACATTTGATCATTTTCAGCATTAAAGCCTGTTTTATATTTAACCAAATCTCATTATTTCTCAAAGCAATGACACTGAGAGGATTTGGTCGGGTCCCAAAACTGGTAAACGGACGTAAGTTGTGCACTGTTGTTGCGCAACATCCCCTTCCCCTCTTCTCTCTCTCTCTCTACTTCCTCTTCTGAGAGGAGGGAGATGTGCTTCCAGCTCTCCGTCTAACGGGTTTGAGAAGCCTCTAACTCCTGAGTATTACTACAGATGAGAATATAGAAGACATTCCGTTTAAGCTGGGCGCGAGAAAGACTAGCCTGGTTTCTGACGACCTCCATCCAGATGTCCCACCCTTTTTCACCCTGTGAACTAGCCAGATAGAGCAGCCCGGAATCAGCTAGTTTCACAGAGCACACCTGTTAACGGTCGCTCTTTCTCTTATTACAACTTGCACTTGTTACTGAACCAGGTAGGTTTTAGTGATTCGAGCGAGTCCCAAGGGTGTTGTTTTGGCTAAAAGCAACTTATAAAACATTTTCCACTTTTTCCTCCCAGAATCAAACTTCATAGCTATTTTACAACCACCAAAGAACTTTAAGGTGACTCATTAATTGAATGTCCACAACATCTTTTAGATTTTCTTGATGCTAATTATTTTATTAGTAAGGCAATTTTGCAAGGGTCAGTACAGCTTAAAACAGTAATCAAATAAGTAAAATCAATAATCTAGCCTATCTTTCCCTAATGCTGACACTGTGAACTAAAAAAGGAAAACTTTGAGAGAGACGGATGGAGTTTGGCATTTTGAACCCCAGAACTGGCCTGATGATGAAAAAGGTGTTGCAGCAGCAGGAGGCTCCCAGTACAGGAAGAGTACTGAGTCAGAGCGGCAGATCTCGGGCCTCAGGGTGACTTCCTCATGCGCGTAGCGGCCCTCAGCTTCTTGTCCTGCAGCTCTGTAGCTCCTTTCTCTTCGTCTCACGATCTTTCTGGTCCTTCGAGGTGTAGATGAGCTGGTCTCATGGAAGGAACACACCAGTTCTTCCTCTTTGCCTTTGTTCTTTATCTCTGTCTTTATCTTCATCTTTGCCTTGGTCTTTGTCTTTGGGGTCCGAACCCAGCTGATGAGAGAAGTGCAATTGAAGCCACATGTTGCGGGGCTAACGGGAAGTGGGATGAGCTTGACTTTTCTCGACAGCACAGAAGGGAAAATGGGTGAACCTCATCACTACATTAATTTTGGGTCCTTTTAAATGTTACTTTTGTGTCATAAATGTATTTATAAAGAGTTTCTTTGATGAATAACATCTGCCATATTAGATAATATGTTAGCTTCTGAGGGGTTCCCACACTTTTCCATGTCATGACCCCCAAACGGCATTAGCTTCTGGCAGGGATCCATTTGCAAACCCAGGGATCCATTTGCAAACCCCATATTGTGACAATGATGCACAATATGTAAAAAAAACACTAAAAGTAATTTTTCCCCCTCGCTTTTATTTACTATTCAATAATTATTACATTCATGTAGTATAAATGCTGCCTAATACCTTTTGATTTTAATGAGGATGGTTAAAGTCAAAAACGGATTTCAGCCCCAAATGTGGTTCTTTGAACAAGAGAGGGCAGTAAATATTAACAAGCTACTTCTCTGCAAATGCAGTTTAACTTAAGGGAATAAAAGAGGAGTACCTAGACGGTGAGATGTGATTGGATGATAAGATTTTTATGTGAGGAAGAAAGTTTTGTGACAAACCAATTCAAACCATAAAGACCTTTCAGCTCCAGCGACAAAAAATCAGTCCTCCAAGAAATCAGGGTAAGATCTGAATTTCCAACATCTTTCATTCAATTTGATCATATTTCAAGTAACATCAAGTTAACAATTTAAATTTTAAATCCTGTAAGTAGGCTGAGAGTAAAAATAACCAGAATTTACCATAGCTACAGCTTAAAAACTGTACAGAAGTTTAGAAACTTTTGTTGGGTAATAAGTTCCTATTTTGTCTGTTTTGCAGAATCATGAAACACGTTGTCCTGTTTCACTTGCTGCTCCTGTTTGGAATGTATTCAGCCCAAAATTATCGTAAGTATAATTTAAAAATATTTATTAATCTGTTGAGACTGTAAACATAGGACAGCTGATTTTAAATAAGCTACTCTTATCCACAGATAAGAGTTAAATATTTAAGATTTAACATTTCATCTTATAGAGGCTGCTTCTTTTGTACCAGTCACTCTTTATCACAATTAATCTGTTGGTCCAAATCTATGAAATTATCTGTCTGTGTTTAGATCCTGAAAAGATTCACTGTTCCATTAAAAATTAGGATGAGAATTTGATTATTGGTGTTTTTTCCTGGCACATTATTCAAATCTTTAGCAAAGTTATTTGCTTGCTACAAATCCTTTCAATTCAGCTTATCTACATACAACATAAAATTCACCTCGAGTTATTTTAATGGACAAACAGGTAAAAGTTATCTACAATACATATAATCAAATAAAACTTAGTTACATATACAAATTCTGTACATGTAACTAAGGACCTGACAACAGACAAGGACAACAAGTGGACTAAAATACACGGAGGGTAATCAGGGAAACGAGCCACAGCAGGGAATGATCAAGGAGTGGACAGGACAACACAGAGACTCACAAGAACAAAAATCTAGAAATAAACACAGAAAACTCAAATCCTCACAGAAATCATTTTAATACAATGTAGACAAGTTGACTTTATCATGCCACCTAGAAATGTTTTTGACTATAGAAGGAATATATTATATTCCTTCTATAAGTATAAGGAATATAAGTGCAATTATCACTATTTAGTAAACATTATCAGCGTCCAACACATAATTAGTCTTTCAGTTACTAAATAAATTCTCTCAGAACTCAACAGAATAATTAACATAGAGATAAGAATAGGATTAAACTATTCTTCTTAACTTTTTCCCCCCAGAAAATGTGGCTTTACGTGGCAGAGCCACTCAATCTCAGCGCTACCAGGGAGCAGAATGGGGTGGTTTTGGAGCTGCTTCTAACGCCATTGATGGGAACAGAAATTCTGCCTTCCAAGACGGATCTTGCAGCCACACTGAAAGGCAGTCCAACCCCTGGTGGAGAGTGGACCTGCTGGACTCGTACGTCGTCACCCAGGTCATCGTCACCAACAGAGGAGACTGCTGTGAAGAAAGGATCAACGGAGCAGAGATTCACATCGGAAACTCTCTACAAGGCAATGGCATTGAAAACCAACTGTGAGTGATTATAATATTTCTGATTTCATATACTTATGTCACACCATGAAGTCTTTGAGAGCAACTCCAAGGAGATCCTAGATATGACTGACAAAGCTTTTCTCTTTCAGAGCTGCTACAATCTCCTCCATTCCAAGTGGGGCCTCTAAAGCAATAAATATTCCTAACCGCGTTGAGGGACGTTATGTCACTATTGTAATACCTGGATCAGAAAAGTATCTGACCCTCTGTGAAGTGGAGATCTATGGGTACCGCGCCCCAACAGGTGAGAAAGTTTAGGCTACATTTTGTTCTGTGGTTTAAAACTGAGGGTGATCATTGTTGAATGATTTTCACACAAAACCATAGATTTTTGTCTACAAATGAACATGACGCCGTCACAAAGTTTGTCTGCTGAACATCCCACATCCTAATCTCCTGACACATCCTAAAGATGCTCTGTTGGATTGAGATCAGGAGATCTCTTGGATTTACTTCTCGAAAAGCCAAAGTTTGGCAATAAAATATTTCATCACCATCCTAAAATAATGGCCTACGTCACTTTTTTTGGCAAAAAAACGACATTGGTCGTTGTAGGAAAGTGACGATTTCCTCCTACTGCTGTGTAATCAAACTGTTGATTTGTGGAAGGGCAGATCTGTGCTCTCTTCTTGTTTACACCAAACTCTAACTCTAATCTGGTATTGCTGTACCAACCGTCTAGACCCCTCAGATCTTCTGGTTCTGGTCTGCTCTGCATCCCCAGAACCAAACAAGGAGAGGCAGCATTCAGTTTCTATGCACCACAGATTTGGAACAAACTTCCAGAAAACTGTAAAACGGCTGAAACACTGGGTGCCTGTCATGATCCGTTTCTCTTTGTATTTATTTTTAGGGGGTTTTGTGTTCAGTTCCTTCCTGTGAGTCTCTGTCTCTGCGTCTTCCCCATTGATTGTTCCCAGGTGTGTCTCGTTCCCTTGGTTACCCTCTTTGTTTATTTAAACCCACCTGTTGTATTTGTCTCTTGTCGGGTCTTGCGTCTAATGTTGTCTGTTAGTTCGTCTGCCCGGACAGTAGTACTGTGAAGTCCTGTGTCGGCTTTTGCTCATTTTTGTCACTCTTGTTAGTTCAGTTGCTGCCGGTCCTGAGCCTCTGTTCCGCTCTTCTTAAACAAGTCGGATTGACAGCTACTGTTTTTCTGGTGATGACAATAAACTGAAACAGAAAAGCAAACCTGACCATTTTCTTCAGCAGCAAACCAACAAAAACAACAGAACCCTTTTTATATGACACAGGTAAAAGGGTTAAGAAACCTCCCTAGAAATAAAAGAATATAAAGTTGCAGTAGATTAATCTCACTGAAATTATAAAAAACTCAAACTTTTAAATTAACTTTTAAAAACATTTTAAATGAGTTAATTGCAAAGTCTGTCATTAATGAATCCTAATAACCTTTTAATCAAAAATGTAACAAATTAAACATTTGTGGACATTAGCTTTGGGGACATTTGTGCTGTTGCAACATGTGTTGCACTGAGATCCTATTTTAGGCTTTAATTGCTCAGGCTGCCTCCTTCATCCCATCAGATCAGCATTTCAAGCAAAAATTAATACCAGGTGAGCAAAGAGAAGCGGCTTTGTCTTCTTGATTTCCATCGATGGCTGGCATGAAGTGTTTGGTATGCATTTTCACCAGACATCCTGTATCTTTCATTTTATTGAGTTTTTGCTACCACACATTTAGTTAAATAAATACACAAACCAACACAAAGGAGCATACTGTTTGGAAAGAAGAAAACGGGGTTCCCACATTTTCTGAGAAAAAAAAACAACTTTATTTAGACTGAGTTCAATAATTATGTATTCAACATTTTCACAACTTACCACTTGTTGCATCACTTGTCATCAGCCTGAAGTTCTCATATAAACCAACCAAGTGAGCCATAATACAGAAGATCTATTGTCCATGCAGTCAGAAAACCATGACTAACACACGTCACCTAAAGTTTTACTTTCTAATTTGCCAGGTTAGTTTTCATACTGTTTTACATGCAGAGGAAGGATAATCAGAATAGCAAATCTCCCTAACAAACTTAGACTGTTGCAACAAACGTATAGCCTCAGGTCACTCTTTGGAAACCACCAGTAATACTCAAAACTGTGCAGAAGTGAGTTATTATTGCTAAAAGTATTTTAGGTTTAGCCAAACTCAGAAGACTTCACATCAGGTACGTCTCTTTCACCTTTATTATAAACTTTAATATTGCTTTAAATCTTATAACTTCTTTGTTTGCACCTTTATAGGAAAACATCTATGTTTTCTGTGAAAGTCATGACGATTATGGAAAACATTATCATTATTATGATATTGCAGCTTACAGGTGAGTTTCTGTTTTAAGCAACCTTCTCTAAAACAAAACTACAATCATCCAATTTACTTTTCATGTGTTTTTATATCTTATCAACAAAAAGAAAGAGAGAAAAGTTTCTTTCTGGCTTTGCAGGCCTGTGTTCTCGTTGTCTCTGTGTGCAACAACACCAGTACGCCTTTTATGACACTCCAAAAACCTGGACCGAGGCGCAGAGCTACTGCAGAGGGACATGCATTGACCTGGCCACCATGGAAGACATGAAGGAGATGGACATGGTTCTGAAAGCAGTTGGAGACGACTACAGTGATGCCGTGTGGTTTGGGCTGCAGACAGGCAGCATGAGAACATGGCACTGGTCTCTTGCAGACAAAGATTTCTACAAGGAGGGAGAAGACGATTATCTCAAATGGGGCTCAAAGAGTGGCTACAACTGTGGCGTTTACGACAACGGAGAACTACATCTGTGGCTGCACAGACTACAGGCATTCGGTCTGCTTTGACAGTAAGTGGCATTTTCCGTCAGTCAATCAGAGGAGTAACTGTCAGGATGTGCCCCCACAGTGTGACATGTTCAAATTCATTTGAATTTTGAAATTACAGTTTGTGCCAGCTTAGGTCAAGATGCTTTACTCCTATCTGGCTTTTCAGGCAGCAGCAGGACACTTCAGCGCATTTCTTTTCTCAGAGCTCCTTCAACAAACCCATTTTTGCTAAAATTAGACAAATAACAGTTCCAGTAAGTGTTAAGAAGTTTCTCTTCTGATACCAAATGTGACAAAACCTTTGTGTCTTTCTAAAATTGCAAGTACATCTCTATCAATTAGAATACATTTTCATTGGCTGTTAGTCATAATCACCATAACCAAAAATAACAGAAGTTTCTGATTTAATTATATTCACCGGTAGCCAAAAATAGATTTCTTGAAACCTTTAAAAAGGAGGTTTAATTTATTATTAACTGAAATGTTTGTTAAATATTATTTTCATTTTAAGTTTATCTGTTCAAAAAGTGAAGTTGATTTATAGCAGATATTTTATAAAAATATAAAACAACCTGAGAAAAATAAACATTTAACTGATCTGGTGAGACTTTGATTTGCCTGGAGCCATTCCCCAAACCTGGTTTAAACTGTAAAACTTTACTTTTTAGGGACAAAACATGGAGTGGATCAGTACATCCTCTATCCAGAGCGAAAGAGTTGGACCGCTGCTCGGGATTTCTGCAGGAAAACCTACACAGACCTGGTTAGCTTGAGGAATGATGCAGAATACCAGACGGTCCAGGACCTAGTAAATGGAACGGCTGTGCATGTTGGGCTGTTCAGGGACTCCTGGGTGTGGTCAGACATGACAGACTCTTCGTTCAGGTACTGGCAGGAAAAGCAGGGGGTTTACACCTCAGGTTTAGAGTACTGCGCTGCTCTTTTGAAGACGGAATCTGGCAAATGGGGAGACAGCAACTGCACAGAAGCACATCCATTCGTCTGCAAATGCAGTAAGTAACAAGTACAACCAAAGTAAAATGATAATATAAGCTACCATCAAAAATAAGCCACACATTTTGGTATTTCCTTTAGCCTTGATTAAGACACACATTCTTCTGGCATCACAGTGTCACATTTAAAGCTCTTCCAAACACTTATCAACCTAATAAATCCTGAAATTTTTACTTCAAATTACGCCAGTGTCATGTGGGAAGAAGAAATTTAACTGACGGACTAATATAGTCATTCTGTAAACTTTGGATCATACAGATAGGCATGATAATTACATCACTTCATGTGCATTTTATTTTCTGTCTAGCCTCACCGATTAGCGGTTTTCTTCAGTTTACACAGCAGTTTAACACCAGTCCCTTGGAATGTGGTATCAGTCCTACTTAACAAAGCTGTCATTTTTCTGTTTTGATGTCACCAAACTTCTCACCATCTCAGTGAAGAAGCAGTCCAAAGCAAAGAAGAATAATTTGTTTATTTTTGTCCGTAACAGAAACCAGGAAAGTGCAGATCATAAAACTGAGAATCAGTCAACAAAAGGAATCAATGTTGGGTCTAAATGAGCCTGCAGTGCAAAATAGCATCTTGGAGCAAGTAAGTCTTTTAGTTCAGTTTACTTTGCAAACTAATGATGGGCGACATGTGTGACTGAACAAAGTGATCAAGATACATTTTTATTTATTTATTTATCCTCTTTTTACTAGCGAGGACCAACTGGACCGAGGGTAGATCAGATCAGGGTGAGCAGGATTTGGAAAAGGTCTTAAGACGCCACCCAAATGCTAGTCAAAATTTGGGTGGCGTTTTGTATAATGCCTATTCAAGATTGCAGAAATTAAGAACTTTATCAGGTCATGAAGGAAACCTTGATGAGATTAATTTCTGTATTAAATTTAATTGAGACGGTTTCTCTACTTCAAAATCTTAAACATCCAAACCGGTCACATCTGAATTGAATAATTCTGCGCTGAAAAAAGCTTCTTTAAAACACAATTTAAGATTTTGGTGACTAGTTTGATCCAAAGACTGGCAGAACCGGTGGCAAAAAGGAGAGTTTTTAATAAAGATAGATGTGAACTCATAGAGCTCAGCTGTCACAACGGGAATGAGACTTAAAACCTGCAGAAGAGAAAAATTAAAAACATTGAAGTTATACACTGAGGAAAGGGTGGAAAGAGTCAAAGAAACCAGATAAATTTGCAACTTTCAAGTGAGAAAAAAGATAAAAATCAGGAAGCTGAAGATAAAAAGCCTTGAAATAGTAAAGCTAGAAAAAATTAAGTTAAAAGCAGTATTGGGTCATGTGGGTTAAAAGTCAAAGACAGCACTTTAAAGCATCCCAATAAAAAAAGCACCAATAAAAGCAACATTTTACAATTTCAAACAATAATGTAAATATGTTCTTTTCTCAGATGAAG